AGGGAATCCTGTGCTGGCTCCTCCTCATGGAGAGTTGTGTTTAAGCATCAACAACACTGCAGGAAAATGGCATTTTCTTGACTTCCTTGAAGTTACTTAGTGACAAGCAAGTGTGATAGCCAGGGAAGGGATGTGCAGTTGCCACGTGTTCTGCTTGTTCTTTCCGTTCTGTGAAGAAGTGGGCAAAGCTGGTAATCCTGATGAATTATGTCAAATTCCGCAACCATACAGTTTTTGTCACTGCTCTTAATAGTTGGTGCACACTTCTGTGTTCCTTGAATTGGGAGAAAATCCCCACGCTGTAGGTCAGAGGGTCACATGCTCCAAAGGGCTATGTCCAAAAACCACAAGGGAAGTGTCCGAAAATTATTAATTTGGAGACACCACAGGCTGCTGTAGATCAGCAGTGGATTCACATAATTGAATTTCGGGCAAACTATTCCGGCCCAAGGGTCAAATTATGAATAAATGTAAGACAAAACACACCATCTGGTGAACCATGCTTAATTTAACTGAATTAGTTGTTCAGTGGATCTCAAGACCAGTTAAGTAGCTTATCCGTATTTCTCATTGTTTCTTACTAAATGGCCCATTTCAAGCTCTTCCCTTCCCTCTCCCCCCTCACCCTTTAACCTCCAAACCATTAAGTGGGGGTGGGTGGTGTCTGCCCTGACAGGGTGCTGAGGATGTTGCTGAATTACCAGGCTACTGCAGGATTGCCTTGGCAAGTGGGAGCCTGTGGCCAGTGCCTGACCGGCAAACAGATGGGACTGAGGAGTCCTCATTTTAGTCCCCTGCAGTTGTTATTTGCACAGGACCATCTCGATCTGGGTGGGTTTACAGGCAAGGTGTATCTCTGGGGTACTTTCCTGTTTCAGAGGTTACACCCCAAGATGAAAGCAGCAGAGCTGGGTGGGAAATGATTGCTGTAAAATCTCGCTTCGTTGCAACACGTCCGTGATTTTGCTGTAAAATTAGTGCCTTGCTCTAAACTCCTCTGCTCTAGCAGGCTGGTGGACAACTGCTGATTTTTGGAAGGCTGAGAAAGCATGTATTTTCTTTTAGGTGGTTCAGTGTGCAGTTTTTTAGTGTGTTCTTCTGCTGGGGGGAGACAGGCTGTTTTTCTTACGGAAGAGTTTATGCATTTGTACAGAAAATACAGGACAGTCATGTTTTCGAGATAAATGGTGAAATGTGACTTTTAGAGTCTCAGTCATAAAGACTTTTCCCTTGCCAGTATGTCTCAGAAAGGTGTTGCTGTTTTAGCCCCTGTTGATTACAGTGGAATTATTCAACCACTGCCATCAAAAAGGATGAAAAAAATGCATAACAGAAATTATTTCTGCTTCAAAATTTGTTGCCTTGATGATGTGTGGTTAACAATTTAGAAACATCTCAGCAAATATGTATTTAATTTTGTAGGCAGTGCATTTTGTTCTTATTCTCCATCTATGGCAACTCTCAAGGTTGTGTGACAAATTATTTCATCAAAAGCAGTTTCTGTCCCATAGAGATGTTTTTGGCAGTTCCTGGATTCCACTGAAGTGAATATGAGGCTCAGATTTTCTGCTTTGCCATGTGATGTTTGACGTCCTATTTATTCCGCAATTAAATAAGAATTTTGATGCCTCTTGTGCAATTGTGTTGGGCCAAGTACTCAAGTGGAGAAAAGACAACTAAAAATGTAGAGAACTGCATTCAGAGATGGGGTTTGGGTGCTGGGTATCCTGAATTGGCAGGGCAGTTGATTCTGAAATGCTCAGTGGACGTTCCCAGCATTTGGAATGCGGTGAGATCTTGCTCTGTAATCCCCCGGTGAGTGGGAGTGCTGGAGCTGACTTAGGAAAGGGACAGGTCATTGGACACAGGAACACAGCACTGCTCAGGACACAGCTCAGGGCAGCAGCTCTCTGAGGAATGTGGAGCAGTGGAATTAGTCTCCCAGCTGGAGGCTGATGGCTAATACTCTGCAAAGCTGCCTGCAGTATCCTGGCTGAAACGGCCTCCTGCAGGGAAGGGGGAACAGAGAGGGAAGTGGTGTGAAAACAGCACCCTGTTCCTCGGGCTTTTGTGGCTGAATATCTCCATTGGTTACATCTATCCCTAATGCAGCTCCTTGGAATTCCAGGTTATTTGTGTTTCATATTTGTTTTTAATTTATTGAACCTTCTAAAAAGCCTTATTTGTCTTTGAGGGAACCCTGTACCTCAATACCTTTTCATATGAGGAATTAAAAAGAACACAGAACACAAAAGATCATCTGGCTTTATTTCAAAATGGGTGTTTGGACTCAAATATCTTGATATATCTTTATTTATGTAGGATATAAAAATATGTGCCTTCAGTTGAAATGCAATGCTATGTGGAAACAGCATTTCACTTTTTACCTTTAAAACCTGTGAGGAGCTGTGCTAGCTAAGATTAGAATAATTGATACTGTTCCTCTGAAATACTGAAAAATTGGGTTTGGGACGTTGGGGGTTTTTTATAATTTGCTTTTTGCTTTTTAAGGTATCACAGCTTAGCCCAGTCAATCAGTGGAATAACACTGGCCTGAGGCTTGAGGTCTGGATGAAAATTCTGTCTGCACATGGTGTTCTTCAGGCCCCAGTGTAACAGTTACTTTCAGGATTGCTCCAGTGACAATATTTTAATGCAACTTTCCAGGCCATTGCTGCTGACATTTCTGGGCTTAGTTTGAATAAAGTACTAGAGCTGTAACCAGAGTTAACAATTCCGTACTACAATATTTCAGTTAAATTGTAGGTTATTAAATAAAGCAAGCCAATTTCTGATCTTACCTAATGTACATTTCCAGTAATTCAGGATCTGATGTCAACAAAAAAAAATGGTTTAGATAGTGCAAAGAAGTAAAGTAATCAGATTATCTTTCAGGAAATGTATAGTGTTTATTTCCAAGTATTTTAGCGTGATACAGAGCTAGGAGAAGGATTTGCAGTTTACAGGGCGGGATTTTGGGTCAGAGGGACATAATGCTTATTTCTGGTGAGTCTTTGGTTCTTGACTGGGATGGACTGGGGGAATCGCTCCCTTCTCTCTGGCAGTGCAATTCTCCTGCAGTTCTCTGCTCTGTCTCCTCCTCTAGAGGTGTAGCCCATCTTCAGCAAACTCACCATCTGAGTCTTCCCAGGCTCGGGTTTGGGCTGGCAGGGATCTCTCAGTGAGAACGCACAGGACAAGCACAGCTTGTTACGGGTGGTTGTGGGAAAACCCAAGAGCTGCTTTTGTTGGTTTCTGCAAATAAGTCTTTTGCCTCTCTTTACATCAGCTGCTCACCCCACTCATTGGGCAGATCACATCTATTTCACCCACCAGGTCTCTGTTTGGCTTTGGGGGCATTTCCAGTTGTGCAGGTCACGTTCCAGACCAGAGCTGGGCCAGTTGTGGCTTGCTGGAGCCTGACCTTAGCAGGCAGATGCAGTCACTGGTGGCTGCCACAGTGAAACCATATTAGACCAAGGAGATAAAGGAACTGGTGCAGGATTCACACAGCTCATGCATGCCGTCTCTGACTTGTGAAATATAAGTAACCTGTGTTGTGAATCAAATTGCAAGCAATCTGGGCAACAGAAATATCTGTGCATAACATATGCATGTGTCCAGAGCTTCAAGGAGTGGGTCCTTAAACACTTTAGGGACACTAGTGTCCCCTTTGACTCCAGGGACTGTAAACTCCTGTACACCAAGTGGTCCTATTTTCCTGATAATGATGTGTGTAAAAGTATGAATTTAGCAGCAGCAATATGTATGAGTTGACTGAGATTGGCTTTGCCCATTTTGGGTCCCTTTGAGCACTCTGGCTTTAATGCTGAGCTGATCGTCTTTATGCAAACTCCGGGCTGCTGTAGGTTTGTAACACTGATTAGGGGCATTTCAGGGAGGGTTGTGATTCACAGGGAAAAACACAGTATCATTTGCCAAAAAATACCCCAACCAACCCAGAGGGGAAACAATTCTGCATTCTTTATCCTGGACTAGAGTGACTAAAGCCTCGAGAGCAATTCCAATAGCTCTGACCAGCGGCTGAATGGAGAGCAGTTGAGCAGTGAAAAGGAAAAGCCTTCCTTTTGCTGCTGTTGATGAGTTTCTGATCAGACAAAGCAACATACACAGGGAATCACCAGACAGACTGGTGGAGGCCAGGAGCTGACCCATTAAATTGAATTTCTCCTGTGTCGCAACTAGGTGATCTCAGGAAGCTGTGTCAAGTGTCCCTGTACTTCCACAGCACGTAAATCGTGTGTTTTCACACAGTGAACTGTGTGGAGCAATCAGCAAATAGTGGGATTGGTGAATAAGGTAAAGCTAAATGTGAGTGAGACACAGCAGTGTTGTTATATCGTCCACATGAATTGATGTGGATTGATGTGATCCATACCAGTCTTGACTTCACAATAATACTTTAGCTGGGTTCTTCCTGGGGACAGACATCAGTTCAGCTCTCTGAGTCTGCTTTTAAGATCTAAACCCAACCATCATTTTGGACATGCCATGCGTCATGAAAGTTTATGCTTTGGGATCAGTTACACAGCAAGAAAAATTAGAACATTGCCTTTAAAAGACTCAATGAACAAAAAAATACAAACTCACTCAAAAAAGTTTTCCTGAATCTTTGTCCTCTAAAAACTATTTGGCTATTAGGGCAAAACATGTTTTTTTTCTCAATTCTTTGTTCTAAACAAGAACTCGACAATGTTGGTTATAAAGGTTCAAATATTAAAATATGAATGAAATGAACCCCTGTGTGGCTTATGAAATTTCTGTTGGTTCATGACTTGAATAGTGTGAAGTGATGAATGATGCTTCAAGAAACTGTGACTTTTATTCTGGCTGGCATATTTAAAAACATAAATATTTCATTGCAAATTTCTGTTCCCATTTACAAAATATTTGCTTTTTGTAAGCCGCCTGTAATACGATTTTTGATTCCAATGGACATGGTTCCAGTTACTGATGTTTCATTTTTTTCTGTTTTTCAGTTACACCAGCAGAGTTGTTTCCAATGGACTGAAGGCACAAATTAATAATCCAGAACTGAAAGTCAGAGGATTGGACCCACTCATCAGTAATTTAATTGATAAACTTCAGCACTTTAATCAAGTAAGTAATTTTCCAAGATAAAAGCCTTTTATCACACAGCTGAAGGTAAAATTACTGTGTGGCCCTGCTCATCATTTACATTTCCCAGGATCCTGGGTCTGAAATAGTCATGGAGTGGGCTTGCACTAAAGGCAACAGAAGATTCTGTTGTTCCACCTGGGTTCTGAACTCTAATGAGGCAGAATTATTTCTGTGGGAGTCACTCCATAGGTATTGATTAACTGGAGTTAATCCTGGAGTCCACAGTGGCAGGGGCACAGAGGAGCTCCTACACCCCACTGTTCACGTGAACTGTGACTCCAACCGGGTTGTGTGAGTGGCTTTAGGAATCCTGTGATATTCTTGACTTGGAGGACCAGCTTCTTGTTTGTGCAGCTTCCTGCTTTTCAGTGGTGTAGATGAAAACAGATCAAAACCAAAGTGAATCCATAAGGGCGTGATAACCGACTGCACGGAATGCTGAAGTCAGGACAGAGGGTGCTCCAATATGGATTAACCGTGTGCCTTTGAAGGCATTTCCTTGACATGTCTTTCCCTCAGCCCAAAAGGAAAGGTAACCTACCAGTGGGTTTGTCAGAAACGTGATTAACCCACGTCTGCCTCTGTCATCTATTTGAATCTCTCAGCTGCATTCTTGGTGCGTCTGCCATCCTTCAAAGCTGACTGTGCGATGCTCCTGCTTCAGCACACCTCTTTGTGAGCTCTTCCAGCAGTGCCAGCCTAAATGAGCTGGAGCTAACAGATTTAACAGAGATTGATTTTCATTTAGAGCAGGCATGTTTTCTTGTCAGCTTGGAAGAATGCTTACAGCAGTGTGTTCTCAGGCAGAGGTGTTTGCACATTAGCCTGCTCGTGATCTTTCACCATTAAAGAGTGATGGAGCATGGGGGTATAAATAGTAGAAAGCCTCTGCAAAAATTAAAGTCCACCTTTGTGGGTGGGGTGTGCAGGAAGAAAAATAATCTGTGCAGGTGAAACAGGAGGAGGAGGAATTGCTTAGTCAGGATGTGGGAGGTTATGAGGACTGCGGCTGTGACTGGGAGTCATGGTCTCATCTCTTTCTTGCTCCTGCAAAAGTACAACCCTCCTTTACTTCTCATCAACCACAGGTAGTAAATCTGTGATCTAACCAGTAATTAGTGTTTTTGTTAAATCTTGCTTGGCTTTCATGTTCTTTTCCTGTTCTGTAGGCTGCAGTTCAGGAATTCTTTGTGTTACACTGATTTAACTCACCATGGGGGATTACAACCACCAGTCTGCTGTGGTACTTAATATTACAGGGAAATAGGCATTATGTGGTCAGATTGATGAAAAGGATAATTCATTATTTATCTGCCTTTGCATGTTATAAAGGAGAGTGTTAATTTACTTTATAAATATTAGATATATCCATCTGTGTAATAGTCTTCTATAAACACTGACAGTAGGAAATAGTTAGAAATAGATTAAATTAAAAGTAGCTGTGTATTGGAAATTCTGTTTCTTTGGTGTAGAAAAATAAAACTCTGCACAGTCTCATAAGGATCTGCATACCAGTTTTCCTAAGTTACACACGTTTAAAAAACAGCTTCAAAGAGCACTTTTTAGCCAGAAGAATAAAATCCGATTCTTGGCTCTTCCTGTAAGTTGGAAGTGCTGTTTTCTGGTACTTCTAACTCTGTTTTAGGAGAATTATCTCCTTAAGTAAATGTAACTCCCATCAGATTGAGGTGCTTAGCAATAATGGATTCCAAGGGTGAAGGATTAAACAGAATACTGATTATTGCCCTAAGATGGTTCGTTCTTAAGTACTTGCAATGATATAAATTCCTTTGATCGTAATTTTAGTAAGATTTCTTTAGAGATCAAAGCATCAAAGAAGTTGCTAAATATCTAAGACTTTCACATGCGACATCAAACATGTGTAGCTGTTTTCTGCTTCTTGAATTTTCATCTCAGTTGTGATATTATTATACAAATAAAAACTGACACTGAAAAGCTGATTAAATCAGGAGTTTAAGGTGTCGTCGATAGTGTGTGTAGTCTGTAGGGTTATACGGAATCCCATTATTTATTTTACGGGCAAATTAATTTTTTTCATCAAAGTATTTTTTTCGAGGCAATGTACAAGGTGAAATTTGAACACTGATAAAATAAGATGTTGTCTTTGTATCTCCTTAAGTGCTTCACACTTGAGACACGGTTTTAAGCAATACTTGCACACTGCATACACAGAACCAGTCCCAGAGAGCTGGGAAGCCTGGAGAGCAGGGGACAAAGCAGTGCACGTCAGAGGTGATTTGGTGTGTCCAGGCCCCAGTAGTCTTCTCTCTCTTAAGTAATATTTCTAAACTACCCAGAAGAAAGCATATTCTTGGATAGGAGAAAGGTGTGCTGAGATTTTTAAAGGATTAACATTTCTGTCTCAGCAAAATGAGCTCCAGCCATGCTGCATCTATCCCTCAGGGAGCCTCGACCTGTTGGTGATATCTCTCTCTCTCTCTCTCTCTCTCTGTGTGTGTTCTGCAAAGGTACATGTTTTGGAGAATGGGAACCACCTGCTGCTAGGTCAGTTTGTTGAGGTTGTGCAGTGCTGTCAGTGCAGGATTCATTTTTTTTTTAAAGATGATAGTGGAGCCATTCTTAACAATTTCTGGAGCAAATCTAATTGCTGCTGTCTTTGATAGATCCTCTTCCACCTTCTTCTTCCACTGCTGGATCCCAGCTCTTCCCTGTCCCTCCCAGCCCCAGCTGCAGGCTCCTTCCCCCGTGCCAGCAGTGCTGGCTGAGCACACAGCACAGCGGGGCAGCAGGGCCAGGGGGGCTGCAGGTAACAGGGGGCTCTGGCCACGGAGAGCAGGGCTGGCTTGTCACTGGCCACGCACAAGGAGCAAACTATTCACTCCCTGAAATCCAAACCTGACAGTCTTTGGTGCACAGCAGCCCTTTCTTTGTTAGCTCTGTGTTATGACTTAGCCACAGTGTAAAAGACTGATAACTTCACTGACCCTAAATCCCGTGGACGTGGGCAGAACTCTTTTCAGTGTGTTACTGTTCTAGTTGGTGCATCTCAGCTCCAGCACTTTACAAATAATCTGTATGCAAGTCATCTTCCATTTCTGCCTGACACTGAGGCTGACACGCCAGTTTGTTGGAGATTATAGCAGCTCCTCTCTTTTGTCATCTGGGACTTAAATCCTCACCACATAGTTGTTGTCTTTTAAAAAAAAAAGATTATGCAAATAGCAGGCTATTTTATAGCCACTTGGCAAAGCCGAAAGTAAAGTGAAATTTCGGAAATATTATTCAACAATTACTGTTATTTGCATCCCTGGCAGATAAGGTAGTTGAAGGGTTTATTGAAGCTACTGATTCCCATATCACTAGAATTACCAAGCTACAATTTACAGTAACTTTCAGTAATGCAAAAACAGATCAAATGAAGTCCCAGGTTGATTTTGGAAAAGCAGCAGTTAGAAATAACATCTTCTACTCCCTCTTTTCTGTGAATAGGGCAGATGTGAACTGCAGCTGATAATAAACACATAATCCCCCGTTGCACCTTTTTTGAGTACTACTTCTTGCCACATACTCGTACTTAAATATGTTTTAATGGTTTTCTTCAGCATAATGCTCTCCATAGTTCAAACACAAGTGGTTCTGAGGCCAGGGTTAAAAATCCTAAAAGATCAATTGCACTCAAAAAAAAAAAAAAAAAAAGAGAATGCTGGGAAAAGTGGAAAAGCTGTGACTGTAACTTTATTAGCAGGGATGCCTCAACCTGCTCAAAGGATTATAATATAATAAGTATTATACAAGTATAATGTGTTTGTCTTTTGTCAGCCTAAATCTAATCTAGACAGATTTTGTGAATCAGTGTCTTTTGCTGTTGTCAGAGATGAATGCTTAGGGCATGGCTGTAGTTCAAGAAAACAGTACAATTAGCCTAGTGCATAAAATGAGAGTAATGTCAATGCTCATGTTGCTGAATCTGGATTCACATATTTTATTTTTTTTTCCCCACCAAAGTTTCATGGATCTGCCAACTGAACTGATAAATGCATGTAACTTAATTCCTTGCAGATTTGTACACAGAGGATGTGTACAGCAAGGTTCAAAGCAACAGCACTGAGATGTTTCATACCAATAATATGAGCCAGCCATAATTTAATTTCAAATGTGAATTTAATTGGATTAGACAATAGAGAATAATACAATACATAATTTAAGTACTACTTTAATTTAAAGTTTATTTTTTTTTTAGACTTGTGTAAAATTTATTAGATTATGGAGTTCTTCTTTGAGATTTAAGTGGAGACAAGTTGGTTTGATTTTCATCCAAAGTCACAGCTGCCTTGGACCAACATTCGAAGTTTTCTGTTCTTCATTTCATCCAGTGAAAACATGGAAGGAAAGGTAGTCATCTGAGAAGGACTGTTGCTACACTGCTTCTAGTCCCTGGGATTTAAGCAGCCCCAACAGGGTTAGAAGTAACATTACTTACCCCCACATATTTCCCCAAACCAGCAGAGACTTGCCACTCTCACAAAACAGAGCACCTTTCCCAGCACTGCCACATGTCTGGATTTCAAAAGCAGGTCCCTTTTTTCCTATCCAAAGCATTTAGAGACTGGACATTTCTTTGGGGTTGAAGATGTTCTGTATCACTTTTGGAAATGTGAAGAATCAGGAAATCCCAAAGATATTCATTCTCTCTTTGGTGGCCAGCCAAGCAGCCTGTCTAATTTCGGGCATGTAATGTGGATGCACAGGTGAATAGAAGATGACTGAGGGAAGGGATCAAAGCCAGTCCTGGCTGTACAGTGTGTGCCAGGTGCTGACAGTGCCCAGATAACACTTACAGGGCTCTCTGGATGCGCTGCAGGCAGACTCTGTACAGGCCCCCGGAAGGGGAAGGTCTTTGTCCCCTGCACAGCTCAGGACTCACCATCACACCCTGCTGAAGGTGCTGCCCCGACACTGGTTTTATCTTTCACAAGTGACGTAGGACCCACATCACT